CATAGAATTTGTAGCTGATGTCGTGTGGTTGGCTCCGTTTGATATATTCACCACCAAATTTTGGTGACTTGTTTTGACGAATTAATTATCCATAATGATTGGCTTTAAGGTTATTTCCAGCTAGCTTCACATTGTTGGTTGTTACTGAACTTACAAAATTTTGCTAGTATAGCTTCGTTTCTTAATTGAACCATATTATGCATAGCATTTCTGCTTGCTGGTGGTTATACATTCCGTTATAATATTGTCACCCGTGTTATATTTAATTCGATTTTATCAAACATTTTTAATTCAAATATTGCTATATCTACTTATCTAGGTAGGTGTCTTCTGAAACATTATGAGATCAATTCCAATACTTTGTTTGGGGGCAATCATACTTTTGATCATTTTCTTATATGCATAAAAAGTTAAGTAGCATATAAAGTTGTATTATTTTAAAGTCAAAGATCACATTTTGGAATATTAGTATAATAGCCAATATAATTTCATCACCCTACTTTTTTATAACAACTTGTTTACTCCACCATTCCATCCATCCTGAAATGCATTATTTTTTTAAGCATTTCTAGAGCTTTTGGTACTAAAAGCTCTGTTAATTGATCTTCCGTTCATGCCCATTAGCGTCTTCTTTTCTTAAAAGTTGTCTGTTTACGCATTTTAATGGCGTCGGCATTACAAATCAAACAGTTCTTTTTTCTTTATAAAGAAAGAGTAGAATATGCATCTCTTTTCAATCACTTTTCCTTTTTGAATCAAACAGGGTCTAACTCTAATATTTCATTCTCTTTCATTTACCTTAATCGTCATTTTCTATGTCCTTAATTTTTATATTTTTAATGAGATGTGTATTGAATTTTTTGGTTCAGATGGATTCAGTTAAACGGTCATCAGTCACCCCACCTAAGTCCCGTTTGGCTCGCACTTTCGCAAAAGTCCTCAGCTTTCAAGCCGCCACAGGTGACGACTGTATCCAAAAAGGCAAATCTCGAGGAAAGACGAATAAAGATCATCAAACCAAACACGCCAAGACTCCCTCACTGGATGCAGAAAACGAGAAGCTAAAAGACCATTTAATTAACGAAGCTTTTCTCGCAAAGCTTTTCGCCAGCCTGTCGTCCATCAAAGCTGCTTATGCCCAAATGCAGTCCGCGCAGTCCCCTTACGACACCGAAGTGATTCAATCCTCGGATCAAACGATAGTCTCCGAGCTAAAAAATCTGTCCGAATTAAAACAATGCTACTTCAAAAAGCAGATAAACGACACCTCGCCCGAGAAAACTCTCGCCTTAGCCGAGATTCAAGAGCAGAAGAGCCTTCTCAAGACTTACGAGGTCACGAGCAAGAAGCTCGATTTTCAGCTCAAGCTCAAGGACTCTGAGATCACTTTCCTTGAAGAAAAATTAGCCGAGGCCAACAGCGAAACCAAATTGCTCGAGAGGAAATTAAATTCGAGCGCGCAATTTTCCATAACCCACGGCCTCCGGTTATCAGACCTGAAGACGAGCCATTTCGTCACTTACCATCGGGAGGTGTTGAAATCCGTACGAGCTTTTGTTCGGCTGCTCGTGCGCGAAATGGAGTCCGCAAAGTGGGATCTTGATGCTGCCGCTAGCTCGATCAAGCCCGGTATTTCCTTCTGGACTCAGGCCCATAAGTGCTTTGCATTCGAGTCGTTTATCTGCAGGCATATGTTTGATGGGTTCGGCAATGGTTCGGAGAGAAGAGATATTCGCCGTGAATCCTTCGCCGTTTTCCGGGAGATGTGTTCGGTGGACCCCACAGATTACTTGGCGAGGAAGCCCGAGTCGCCATTTGCTCTGTTTTGCCGTGAGAAGTATTTGAAGCTCGTGCACCCGAAGATGGAATCGTCACTTTTCGGCAATTTGGAGCAGAGGGATTTGCTCGAGACGGGTTTTTATTCGGCGTTTTGCGAGATGGCGAAGCGCGTGTGGCTCTTGAGGTGTCTGGGCTCGTGCATGGAGGCTCGGGTGGAGATTTTCCAGGTGGCGAAAGGGAGTCGATTCTCGGAGGTTTACATGGAGAGTTTGAGCGACGAGGCATTTTCTATATCGGGTGTCGGCTCGGGAAGCCATCCACGGGTGGCTTTCACGGTGGTCCCCGGTTTTACGGTCGGTAAGACAGTGATTCAATGCCAGGTGTATTTATACTGATCAGTGATCATCATGTTGGCTTTGATTTTGGCCATTTTTTTTTTCTTTTTAAGAGTAGGATTGAATTTGATTGTCATGGCTTGGATATTATGAAAGAACTTTGTGTTGGTGTTTTGTGTTTTTGTCTTTCAGAGGGGAAAAAGAGAAGGTAAAGATATGGGAATTAGTTGATGAGTTGTATCATAATTGCATTTTGTGCTTTTTGGGGGAGGCTCCCGGATTTTGTTAATAGTTTGGCTTTAGTATTAGTATTGGAGGACAGTTTAAGGTGTATAGTTTGTAGTGTATCACATATTTTGTTAGAATTTTGATTGTTTATTGTTTTTGCTTTTGGAAAGTAGCTTTGGGTTATTGAATGTGCTTATTATATATATGTAACCTTGTTAGAATGGGTACACTTGCTTAATTATATATGTTAAAAGCTTATTCGAGTTGTTAAACGAAACAAGAACAACAAGCCGGTCGTAAGCTTGATTCAGCTCGTTAAAGTTTTTTCTTTTTTTTCTTTTTTTTTTTTATGTAATTTTCTGTAGTTCAACAATATATCGATCTTGAAAGACAAGCCAAATCCAAAAATATACAACAAAACCAAATTGATTATAGCCGCATCGAAAGTTCGTTATTCGTTTATCAATCGATCAAACATCTCTCGAGCACTCGAACGCCCGTCCCGACACACCAAACAAGTCACGAGCCGCCATACGCACCTGTCGACCGGACCCCTTTTCGCCGCGCGAAACAAACACACCCACATCATCTTTTCCCCCCAAACAAACGCCGCCAACTCATCCACTCGTCGACTCACGTCCAAACACGAACTACCCGCGTGCCCCATAAAAACCATCTCATCCAAAACTCCGGCCGCCTCCCGAAACCGGCCCGCGTCGCAAAAGCCCTCGAAAATCGTGCGGTACGCCACCACGTCTGGTCGGCACCCCCTTCTCGGCATGTCCTCGAACAAGTCGTGGGCCTCGTCGATTTTCCCGGCCCTACAAAGCGAGCCCACGATCAAGTTGTAGCTAATCACGTCCGGTTTGCACCCATCTCTCTCCATTTGGGCCAAGGCCTCGATTGCGGGCCCGAACTCCCGATCACGACAGAGCCCGTGGATAATCGCGTTGTGCGTGACAGTGTCGGGCCTACACCCTTGCCGGCCCATCTCGTCTAAAAGCCCAGAGACTTCCCCCTTTCGGCCCGCCTTGAAAAACGCGCTGATCAGCGTGGAGTAGACTGCGGGCCCCACTCGAACCCCTCTCCTCGACATTTCTTCCTTTAGGTCCATGGCTCGGCTGAGCTGGCTGGCTTTGCAGAGAGCTTTGATTAGAGGGACGTATACGGGCTCGTCGGGCCTGATCTTCAATTCCTCCTCCATTTGCGTCTTCAGCCTGAAGGCTTCGTCCAGCTCCGAATTCGCGCAGAGCCCGTTGATGAGGGTCCCGAAAGTGACGGAATTGGGGGTCACGCCTTGGCTGAGCATTTCGTCGAACAGGTGGCGGGCACCGGCGAGATCGGGCCGGGCAAGGAAGGTCCGGATCAGAATGTTGTACGTGCAGGCGTCCGGGCCCCCGAAATCGCGGATCTCGTCGAGCAGGTCACGGGCCATGCCGAGCTCCCGGCAGGCGGCGAGGCTGCTGAGAAGCGTGTTGAACGATTTGATCGTCCGGCGGCAGCGGAAGGCGGGGATCTCGTCGAACGCGCGGCGGGCCTCGAGGGGGGATCGGGCCCGGCCGTAGAAGGTGATGACGTTGCAGAAGATGACTTCTTCGGCGGCGATTCTGGTGTCGTTCTTCAGTTTGTCGAGGACGGACTCCATCTCCGGGAACAATCGGGCCCGGCCGAGCTTGGTGATGATGAGGTCGTAGGATAGGAGGGAGTGGCGGAAGGGTTTCGGGTTCGGGCTTCGGTCGTTCGGGTTCGGGTTGAGGAAGAGATGGAGAGCTCGCTTCGGGTCCTTCTCGAGGCGGAGGAGTGAGGATAGTCTGAATGGAGAGATTTTCTTCACTTTCTGCATTTTTCTTTTGGTTTTGGAGTTGGAAGAAAATGGAGGGAGAGAAGTTTTGTCATCCTCTTTTATTTGTGTTTCGTTTTACAATATGCTAAGAATTGATTGGTGAGTTCGGCCCATTTAGCTAATCGATTGAGGCTCGTTAAACTTCAAGAAGAGGAACTTTATTTAATTTTAGATAACTAGGCTTATTAAAACTCAAATCAAATTATTAGTATTGAAATAAATCGAACTTAAACTCGTTTGTTAATTTATTTTTATTAACGACTCGGCTTGATAATAGCTTTAAAATCGAGTATCCAGAACTCAAGTTCGGAATCGACTTATTTACAAGGGTCGGATCAAAGACTAGTGATAGAGAAATATACTAATTGCATTACTTTTGGGTTTCCACTTCCGTTGTTGAATATGAGACTCGAATATATGAATAATGTACTTCAAAGTAAATGAAATAAAAACATGATCTTTTATAATTCATAGTATAGATATGTATTTTATTTAAGAAGAAATACAGAGCTATTCTACAATTACCGGACCAAATTGAATATATATTAAACTTGTATTGTATAAAGCAGAAGATGAACCATCAATTAGATGATAAAAGGAAGGGGAAAAAAAGAGTTACTTCATCCACACATGCCCTGCAACTGCAAGACAAGTATATGAACTTCCATTAGTCTCAATGCAAACTCATGATTGTATGAACTTCTATTTAAAGTTTTTTTCAATAATATACATACATATAAATTAAAATGTTATATTAAGAAGTACTATCAAAAGCTTTTTTCAATAATATGCATACATATAAATTAAAATGTTATAATTCTAAAAAACAACATGAATAAAATTATGTCACTATATAGCATAATAAGTATTTTTGCTAAAAAAAATGTAGAAAAATGCTATTTGTACAATAGGGTTTATACAATGACTTTGACAATTCCAAGTCAATTACTAATTTGCCTCTAAATATCACTTAATAAATTCACCGTGTATTGTTTTGTAGAAGACTTTATATTTAATTTAAAAAAGTTGCATATCTTACTTAAGAACAATACATAAATTTATTTCAGTTATTATATATATTATCATAATGAATATTATTTATGTGAAACATAATAATAAAAATAAATAAGTAAATTTATATATAATTCATTTTTTAATTAAATATTTAATAAGTTAATTTTAAAAATGCGTAAACATAAAAATAAAACAAACAAGGATAAATTGTTAAAATTTAAAAATTACAAAAATATAAATAAATAAGTTTATTAATTTATGAAATATTAATTCAAATAGAACTTTTTATTCACATTAAAAATATGTTTACCTATAAGTTGTTATTTACTGAAAAAAATTTGTAGTTAAGTGCTATAGATTAACAAAGTGCCAATAATATTATTTTTTTTCAATACACCTTTTTTTAAAAAAATATTATACATTAAAAAAAAATTGGTACTTCGAAATATTCTATATTATGTTCATAAGGAAAAAAAAATAATATAAGCATAAAAAAAATAATGAAAATAATTAGTGTTGTAACAATAAAGTTAGTATTTTAAAACACAATGTAGGTATGGAGATTATGAATTTATCATAATATATCCTCATTGTATAACTCATTGTACAACTCATTGTCCAATTTGCTTGTACACGTAGCACTACTAAAAAATGTATGATGATTAATTAATCGATTTACTTGATGGTCCACCTTACCCACATACAAATTTGTGTTAATCATATACTAACCTGTGAGACTGACTAATGATTAGACGATTATAAATTTATTTTTATTTTCAAATAAATATGCATAGTTATATTGTGACTAATTTTATTTTATTTTGTGAAGCACATACCCAGTAGATTTTGAAGTATTCATAGCAAAGATCAAATCCACGGAAAACCAAAGAAATATACATATGCATTCAAGAATATTATAAAAAGCATATCTTTTATAATATCTCAAAATCCACGGACATTTATAAAAATATCACACTTACATGCTTCATTGTAACACATAATCAAACCTGAAAAAGGGGTTGATTTTATTATATATATATATATATATATATATATATATATATATATATTTTAAAAGGACTCTATTTTTCACTAATCCACCCCAAACTTTTATTTATTTATTTGTTTTACCATCATCCCAGAAATTATTATAAGAATCAATGGAAAAATAACTATTACCTTCAAGCATGCCATGAGGCCACCAAACCAACTTGTCTTCTTCCTCAAGCTTCTCATTTTCTTGCTTCTATAATAAAAAAGCTCGTCTTGGAACGAGTGGGGACCACAACGCGCTTTCCTTGTAGTCCAAATCAAACTCCAAAGCATCGAAGTATTTTTCGAGGAGCTTTTCGGACAATGATTTGGAGACCAATTGAACCGAATTCCCACATGATATTGATCTTTGTGGTTGGTTTATAGACATTCTTAGCCAGATTGTGATCAAGGGAAAAAGCATAATAGTTCATAATTTGAGGAATATATGCAAGATTAAATAGTGGAATAATATAGGCTTTTTGCCCCCAATGTGCAATGTCTACATAAAACTAGCCGACATCGGAACTACTTTATTGTCTACAAAAGTGAAACAAAATCATAATTTGGAAAGTTGAGGAAAAAAATGTCCAACACATAAAAACGCCGAAAAACATTATTTCAGAGGATAGGAAGGGGCATAGCAGCACTAGAAAAAGCAGATCAGCTGAATAGCCAAAAAAACATATTATTTGTACATTATTTGCTTATTTGTCCTATTGCAAAGAACAAGAACTAGGGGTTATCTACTAATTCACCTCTAAACATAAACACATAGTTGAAGAATCATTCATCATACTGAACAAACCAAACTTAATTAAGTTACACTAATCTTCCTTCATCTTGTGCTTCAACTTAGTTGCCCAAATAACACTTTCCAATAGCTTCCCCTGAGGAGCAGATGAAATTGCCAAAAGTTCCTGCAAAACAATGCACAAATCAAAGGTTAGAAGGCTTTAGGGATTTATAACTCTGTCCTCTCAAATTAAAGCAGCAAAAAAATGATTGGTTACCCTTTGTAGGACGGCACAAGCAGATTTCTTACAACGAACCACCTCCTTAAACAAGGATGAGCATATCTCTTTGAGGGAATCGTCTGAAAAACTCGCATAATCAATCAACTTATTCCTATAATTATGTGGTTTGTTTCATACTATAAACACCAAAAGAAACGCACATACCGTTGGCGGTGGCTGGGGCTGGGGCGCGGCCTGGGAACCTGAGAAAGGGGTGATTTATTGGTAAGGGGCGATCGAGGATTCCAATAAAGTACAGTAGCCTCAGGCAATCGTCCCTCAGGTAACCGTTGCCGGGGGTATCAAGGAAGGACCACTTGAGGAATAGGCGCGAACCAGAGTGTTGGCCGGGACTGAGGCACACGATCTCCGATTGACTCTTGAACATGTTGATACCCAATTTTTCGTCTGCAGTCGTCGCGTACATCCCGTACAGCAACTGGACGCCGTTGCTGCCGTTGCCGTTGCCGCCGGCGCCGACGCTCGTCAGGGACAAGTACATGGACGCGTAGCCTTGGCTCTGGGCTTCGGGGTCATAGCCGTTGGGGTAGAACAAGATAGCCCAGCGGTGGCCTCCCGCCGTGAATTCAGGGCTCTGGACGGCCTGGCCTGCGCCTAGCCGTGCTTTGTGACGGGAGTAGTCCCTCAGCACCCACACGTGGGAACTCTTGTGCAGCTTTCCGACTTCTTCTTCCATCACAGATTGCGTACCAATTTTTCGTCTCCGGCACAAAATATATTGGGCGAAGCGAGGAATATTTGTACGATGTATCCGAATCATTCTAGGCATAGGTTTCCGATAGGGGTTGGATTTCGCTATTAATGTCGGTCAACCTAAGAATTATGGCATTGGGCCGAGTTATGGGACTATTGCCTTGGTCAGGCCAACCAAGTAGTGGGCCTTACTTTCTTCAAACCAATCTCTATTTTACAATGCAAACATAATTTGTCCACCACTACCCTATTTTGCCAAGAAAGTTAGAATTGATTTTTTTTAAACAGTTACATGAATTCTAATTAAACACTTTGTTCGCCACTATCTTCATATGTTCATTTTTAACCTGAATCTTATTTTTCTTCCCAACCACTTTGACAAGCGCGCAGATCAGTGTTTGGTGAACCCCAAGCCCAAGCATAGATTCCTTGACAACCGGCCGAAATGGTGATGGATGCTTAGATTTGCTTTCAGATTATCGTTTTAGAGTCTGATGGTTTGATGCATAATTATGATAATTATTTCTCTGTGTGATTAGGTTTTGCCGGTCGTTGTAGTGTATATTGTTGCCATATAGGGGTATTGGCCAGCATGGAGGCACAGCTCCTACATGTAGGATTTAACTCCTTATTTCTCAAAAATAGGGCGAAGGATAATTCTCCTGTTTTCATGTTTCTGACCTTGAAAGAACTTTGCTGTGTTTTTGTGTTCTCATCATCGTATTATTCTAATTTGAATAATTAATGTATATGGAAATTGTTTATTGGGTTGTACAACTAAATGAGCAATGTCAATAGTGGTGTGGATTAATAGTGCTATGATGCCAGGTGTATTTATACTGATCAATGATCATCATGTTGGCTTTGATNTTTTTTCTTTTTAAGAGTAGGATTGAATTTGATTGCCATGGCTTGGATATGAAGTGTTTTGTGTTTTTGTCTTTCAGAGGGGAAAAAGAGAAGATAAAGATATGGGAATTAGTTGATGAGTTGTATCATAATTGCATTTTGTGCTTTTTGGGGGAGGCTCCCAGATTTTGTTAATAGTTTGGCTTTAGTATTAGTACTAGTACAACACCCGTGTAATACACGGGTGATTAAAACAAATTATATTTCACAAAAAGTAGAACTACAATAATTTACATAAAAATATAAAAAAAATAAAGATAAAAAATAAATAATAAAATAAAAAACAGAAATTGTAATATTATTGCAAAATTTGAAAAACTTCTCGGTATACAACGTTATTAGTTCGATTTACAATATTCCCATTATGGTCGCAACAAAGAATTTTGAAACCTCTTCTGCTCTTAACTCTAGATATTGCAACATAAAGCTGACCATGACTAAATACGGATTTAGGTAGGTACAACCCAACGTTAGACAATGTTTGTCTCTAACTCTTGTTAATGGTCATCGCAAAGCACATCAAGAGGTTGATAATAATTGATAAATTAAGGAATAAAAATAGATTGTCTCATTTACATATAGGATTCAATTTGGTAAATTAAATAAGAAATGTAAATAGAAATGGTTCCAATTGAAATGAAATAGTTACAGATAATTTTGTTTCGACAAATAACATTGGAAAGCAAAAATAAAATAAATTTGAGGAGAAAATTAAAAAATAAAATAGAAAGTTAAATACTTTTTTAGATTGTAAGTTGATATATGATAAAGTAAAAACAAAATTCCTCGTGTATATTGATTTACAAAATATTTTAAATATATTATCTTTGATGAATTTTTAAATATACAAAAATACTTATTTCCATAATATTTAAAATACATGAGTGGTTTTGTGTTTAATGTATTGGATGCACTTATGCAAGAGTACATGTCTAATACCTTTGTTATTTGTTTCAGTTGGATTAAATTTTAGAGTAAGATTGATGTGTTTGTTAAGGACAATAAGGAAAATTGTGAGAGGAATGATTTTGATCGATAATTTTTTGAACACATTAGGGAGGGTCGAGATATTAAGTTTGTAGTGAAATTTTGATCTATATTAATCCAACCTATTTTATTGTGAGCCCACAACATATCGTTAATCAACACTTTATTTTCTGGAAATGTGCTGTAGACTTTGGATGCAGTTGATGGAAAACAAGCTAGAAGAATTAATCACCCTGATGGTTTGGGTTAAGCAAACACAATAAACACAACTTCTTGCTTGAATTATTGAAGTTCAACAACATGTTAGTAAAATAAATATAATAAACTTTTTATCCACATATAGCAAGCCTGCAATTGAACAACCTCATATGTTGATAGAACACAATTGTATAATCTGTATATCTAATAACCCTCATGCAATTGACAAAGTATAATCTGTATATCTAATAACCCTCATGCAATTGACAAAGTATTTTCTGTAGTTCAACAAGATTTGGATCTTGAAAGACAAGCCACATCCGAAAAAATAGAACAAAACCAAATTGATTATAGTCGCGTCGAAAGTTCGTTATTCGTTTATCAATCGATCAAACATCTCCCGAGCACTTGAACGCCCGTTTCGACACATCAAACAAGTCACGAGCCGCCACACGCACCTGTCGACCGGACCCCTTTTCGCCGCGCGAAACAAACACGCCCACATCACCTTTTCCCCCCAACAACAAACGCCGCCAACTCATCCACTCGTCGACTCACGTCCAAACACGAACTACCCGCGTGCCCCATAAAAACCATCTCATCCAAAACTCCGGCCGCCTCCCGAAACCGGCCCGCGTCGCAAAAGCCCTCGAAAATTGTGCGGTATGCCACCACGTCCGGTCGGCACCCCCTTCTCGGCATGTCCTCAAACAAGTCGTGGGCCTCGTCGATTTTCCCGGCCCTACAAAGCGAGCCCACGATCAAGTTGTAGCTAATCACGTCCGGTTTGCACCCTTCTCTCTCCATTTGGGCCAAGGCCTCGATTGCGGGCCCAAACTCCCGATCACGACAAAGCCTGTGAATAATCGCGTTGTGTGTGACCGTGTCGGGCCTACACCCTTGCCGGCCCATCTCGTCTAAAAGCCCAAAGACTTCCCCCTTTCAGCCCGCCTTGAAAAACACGCTGATCAGCGTGGAGTAGACTGCGGTCCCCACTCGAACCCCTTTCCTCAGCATTTCTTCCTTTAGGTCCATGGCTCGGCTGAGCTGGCTGGCTTTGCAGAGAGCTTTGATTAGACGGACGTATACGGGCTCGTCGGGCCCGATCTTGAATTCCTCCTCCATTTGCGTCTTCAGCCTGAAGGCTTCGTCCAGCTCCGAATTCGCGCAGAGCCCGTTGATGAGGGTCCCGAAAGTGACGGAATTGGGGGTCACGCCTTGGCTGAGCATTTCGTCGAGCAGGTGGCGGGCACCGGCGAGATCGGGCCGCGCGAGGAAGGTCCGGATCAGAATGTTGTACGTGCAGGCGTCCGGGCCCCCGAAATCGCGGATCTCGGCGAGCAGGTCGCGGGCCATGCCGAGCTCCCGGCAGGCGGCGAGGCTGCTGAGGAGCGTGTTGAACGATTTGATCGTCCGGCGGCAGCGGAAGGCGGGGATCTCGTCGAACGCGCGGCGGGCCTCGAGGGGGGATCGGGCCGGGCCGTAGAAGGTGATGGCGTTGCAGAAGATGACTTCTTCGGCGGCGATTCTGGTGTCGTTCTTCAGTTTGTCGAGGATGGACTCCATCTCCGGGAACAATCGGGCCCGGCCGAGCTTGGAGATGATGAGGTCGTAGGATAGGAGGGAGTGGCGGAAGGGTTTCGGGTTCGGGCTTCGGTCGTTCGGGTTCGGGTTGAGGAAGAGATGGAGAGCTCGCTTCGGGTCCTTCTCGAGGCGGAGGAGTGAGGATAGTCTGAATGGAGAGATTTTCTTCACTTTCTGCATTTTGTTTTTTTGGTTTTGGACTTCGAAGAAAATGGAGGGAGAAGAAGCATTGTCATCTTCTTTTATTTTTATTTTGTTTTGTATATTCTAAGAATTGATGGTGAGTTCGGCTCATTTAGTTAATCGATTGAGGCTCGTTAAACCTCGAGAAACTTTATTTAATTTTATATCTCGGCTCATTAAAACTTGAATCAAATTATTAATATTGAAATAAATCGAACTTAAACTCGTTTGTTAGTTTGTTTTTATTAACGACTCGGCTTGATAAAAGCGTGAAATCGAGTATGAAAAACTCAAATTCGAAATCGACTTATTTACAAGGGTCGGATCAAAGACTAGTGATAGAGAAAGATATTAATTGCATTACTTTTGGGTTTTCACTTCCGTTGTTAAATATGAGACCCGAAAATATGAATAATGTACTTCAAAGTTAATGAAATAAAAATATGTTATTTTATAATTCATAGTATAGATAGTATTTTATTTAAGAAGAAATACAGAGCTATTCTACAATTATCGGACCAAATTGAATATATATTAAACTTGTATTGTGTAAAGCAGAAGATAACCATCAATTAGATGATAAAGGAAGGGGAAAAAAAAAGTTACTTCATCCACACATGCCCTGCAAGACAAGTATATGAACTTCCATTAGTCTCAAATCTCAATGCAAACTCATGTATTATGTGATATTTGGTAAATGGATATATGGGTGCAATTCAAGCTAGGATTCATTTTTTTTTTTTTTTTTTTTTTT